AAATATTTTTCTGTGCTGAAGATTTTGCATGCTCACTTGTTGCCTTTCATCTTGTTTTCCAGATTTCTCCTTCAGTGTAAAAATCAAACAGGATCCATTTATAAACAGTCACATTGGAGATCAGTCTGCAACTTTGTCCTGTAGTCAAGATGAGGATAATCCCTACATGTTTTGGTACAGACAAAGCAAGAGTGGGAAAATAGAGCTAATAACCTATTCTCTTGGTGAAAAAGTGTGGGACACTGAAGCTCCTTTCAACAAATCCAAGTACAGTATGTCCCGGCCTTCCCTCCTGAGGTCCTCTCTGCGGATACACTCGGTTGCGGCTGGAGACTCAGCTGTTTATTACTGTGTCTCTAGAAGAGCACAATGGCTCAGAAAGCCTCTGCAGCTAAACAACAACCCGAAGAGTAAAGAAGGAAGATCTGAGAGTGGATTAAAGTGTCAGACTCTGACCAGAAAAAAGATATACAACTTGCATTAAAACACTTCAAACTTTGAAATCTTTATTGAAAAGAAAAACATTCATGAATTCAGATACTTCTCAAAAGGTACAAAAACGACCTCTCCACACTTTGTTTCTGCAAACCTCATAAAGCTGATCTTTTCAGATAAGAGAACAGGTGCATTAGCATTGTGAGGCTTATACAATATTACCCTTTTCAGCATCATCTGTGTCACTCTGTGCTCAAACCAGCACCTTATTAAATATTTTGGTACAGCCTGCCATAATAAAACTATATCCACTTTACACTGACCTCTACAGGGTTAATCATGCATTACATTTAATTACACATTACATTTAAATGACAGGTACTATCAAGCTGAATGGTAGATTATCATGAAGAGTAAATCTTGTGTATCATATTAGTCCTGTAGTACAGATGATTTTATTATGTAGGAATTCCTATATAATAAAATGTATTTAATGGCAAAGCAATGAAGAAATAGAAATTAGAAAAGAAAAAGGATTCACACACATCAATGAGTTATAGAAATATAGATACTTCTTTATAAACATAATGATTGATAGGCGAGGTATAAAAAAAAACTTGGCCTTCTCTTTTTACAGTGGAGAGAAACTTTGTCTCTTGGGATTTGTTTTGGTTGTTTTGTTTAGTTGGCATGTAGCTACACATTGTTTGAGACACCCACCTGGCACTCCAGGACAGCAGTGGTCTCTCCCATCAGAATAATGCATCACACCATAAAAACTGCACAGGAATGACTTGATCAATAATAAAGAGCTCCAAGGACTTTCCAATCCACCACCAACAGGATCCAAAAGATCCTAGCTGTATATGACAGATTTTTGTTGCCACTTGGGGGCAGAAGTATAAGCTGTTGTTATGGTAATGTTGTT